ATAAATAATTAAATTAGAAAAAAAAAATTAAAAACGTAAATTTTTCCACGCCCTTCCCCTTCAACATTTTTTCATAATCAAATAAAATTTTTTTTTTCCTTCCTTCCTTCTAACTTCTTCGTTTCCTAAAACCAAACCACTATAAACTAAACATGTTATTGTGCTAGTCTTTTGGGTTGGAGCCCAAATCATAACAATATGGTTTCAAACCGCAGCCCAATTCCTCTTTTGAGAAAGTGAGAGTAGGCTGGTGTGTTGGAAAGTAGAAAACCTAACCCGACATCGAATGTAATGAGTAAATAGGGAGATCACCTAACCGGGGATTGGTAATTTTTGCAATGTCAGGTGGGTTCAACCACAGGTCTACATATGTTTATTCAGCTTTCAATTAATGATTATGTTTCACTTCTTTCTCTTTCCCCCATATATCCATACTACATAATTTGCTTCAGGGATCGATACCAATGATTACATTCAACACCCAGATTTGGTGCTACCCTCAGAAGTTGCTCTTTTACGCGTACAAGGGATTATATCCTTTCAAACCTTGGAAAGTAAAAAAGAGATTTGTCCTCCTTCCCTGATACCTCAAAATTTGCAAAATGAAGTTCCATTCTTTCCCTTTTCATCTAATTTGTTCCAAATTTAGCACCATTTTTCCCAAATTGAAGCTTCTTTTTGGGGAAAAAATCAATGTCTAAGAATAATTGGGTTGAATGAAGTAGCTAAGCTCAAGCTGCATTACAACACCAAGCATCATTGTTTTTCAGCTTATTCCTTAAGAGCAGCCTTTTGTTTTCTGCTTTATTTTTTAAAAAAGGAATAAACATGAATGATGATGACTTCCCTTATGCGCATGCTTCTGTTAACTTTCACCGGAGGCTTTAGATTCTTTGCATATGTTATCAAACCACTCAACCTTGACGCTACTTCTTAAGGAAATCGAGTCTAATTAATGATACAATGTCATCTTGAATGTAAAAAATTTATTTATTAAATTTATCATGAATCTTTATGTATATGTTTGACGTAAATTTCACACAAACATTTAAACCCTTAACAGTTAACACAAGTTTAATTTCACATATCCTATAATATTCTTATTCTATATATATATATATATATATCTTCAACTTCAAAACTAGAAATGGAGCTTATGCGGCAACTTTCTGTAAAGAAGAGAAGGGAAAAGCTTCTACAAAAGTAGAAATTTGGGTGTCTTAATTATTGGCCCAACCCAAGAGCAAAATGAGGCGGCATCAAGCATACATGTGCTGTTAAGCTTTGCAAAGCAAAGATCAAAGATAAATTATTGTTACCATTGTTTTGATTTGGCAATCGCATAATATTCTTAGACAGTTCATAATGAAGTCCCATATTAACTCATCTCTTTGAAGTTTGAACTAATTAAAGATAGGTATGGTTTCCTAGATCTCAATTCATTAATGGTGCTTTTGTTTAATTTTCATAACTAAGATAGTAGTAATTATTGACACTCACATTTTTGTTAAGACTTCACAATTTTATTAAGGATTTGTTTAACTTGTGTAATTAGAATCATGTTAAGATTTATTAATTAAGGCATCTTTAATTAATTTTATACAAATTTTTATGTTAAATTCATAATTTTTTTATAAATTTTAAGTATAAATAT